ATATTATTATTATTATTACATATGAACCTACATATTTCGTGTATAATATATATATATGCATACACACACACACATGATTTTATAAAAAAAAATATGACAACAAAGGGAATTTTCATTAAAAATTAAGAGTACATACAAAATGTCGTACTTAGGAAAATAAATTACAAGTAAACATCACTTAGAACTACATGTTTATTGCGTCAAAACATAATTCTAACAATAGTTTAGAGCTGATAGTATGACAAAAACACAAGCAGGAATCTTTTATCTTCTATAAGATATTAACATCTCTTGACATATTAACACAGCTCTCACGATGACATTAAAAGGAGGCCCTAAGAAGATAAGATTTGAAGATCTACATGTCACTACTCCACATAAGCGTTTCCTGACTTGCAATTGTTGGATAATTTCATACTTGGTCTCTGAAGCATATTAAAATAGATGTCATGAACCATCAAAGATTGTCAAATAGGTATAACATATATACATACATAAGATAGACACTATATATCAATATAAGTTAGGAACTGCCATAATAATTTTCATAAATGAATGAGGTGATCTGTCATAACTAGGAGATTGACTTTTGCACTAAAGAAATTATAAAAGAATTGATAAATTACCATATTTAATAAGTATCAGAAAATATAGTTGTTTAAAATATAGTTGTTTGTGTTACTTGTAGCATCAGTATGTAGTGCATAATATCAAGATTTTATATATGATTCATATCTAGATCCTACAACGTTTTTAACAAAATACTCTTTAGGATAAAGAGAGATGTTATTTAATCATCACAACCAAGATATCATACTATAGGTTCCCTTAAACATGATTAATTAAGGAATCATGGAAAAAAAAATGGACTTATAAGTACTGATAATAACAATAAATAATTTGTGCAATACTAAAACTTCAAGAATGCATTAAAAAGTGGAACTTACAATTGATGAGCTATTTAGAACGCCCTTTAAAAAGAGGAAATTTTCAAGTGTATGAAATGTATAATGATTGGGATAGATGCACAAACAACTACATAATTAGCAAGTTTACTCTTCGACAATAGACGATAAGTAAACGATAGTTGATAAAACAAAGTTAATAGTAAGAATTAGAGGTATTGGATTCCCAAGTTCAAACAAAAACTAAAATCAAAGAGGACATACTTGGCCCTTCAAATTTTGAAGGAAACACAAATCATACAAAAATGGAGCACAAGAGTGCATATTGAGTATCCTTAATGATAATGCTAGCAAGAATGAGAATATTATAATGATCCCTATTTTTTCATGCAGACCTTATGTTCAACTATGACTGATTTTCTATTCAGTTTAGTTGTATTCTTGTACAAATTTGTTTCCTTACTTTTTAGGATTTTGTAGAGTTTAACATTACTCACAAGTCATATTAGAAAATTATCAAGTTTGGAATAAAATCCAAAACACTGCCTATATTACCTATATATATATTAAATTATTTGTACAGCTGAACGCAATTAAATGTACTCTAAATACGGCTAACCTGCTAGCATTTTGATGCTATTATACCAAGATCAAAAGCCCTTGCTATTTCGTCAGCACTATCACTCCTGGGAGTATCGTAAAGTGGAATGATTCCAATTAATTTCCAGGCATCCCTAGATCCTTCATCTCATCAGTAACTTCATGTATAGTTTCATGGAGCTCAACTAAGAAATTGGTATAAGTCTCAACAGAAGAACAAGGCCAGAATGTTACATGATATACTACAGCTCATAAATGTGACCCTCGTTGTCTGAACTTGTGTACCACAACACGCTCTCTTATATTTATCTCTTTCTTGTTATGTAACAGAATTAAGATATGAGAACTAATTAAAACTTTAACAAAATGAGATGACAAAATACATTGTAGAGAAGTGCCTGCTGAGGAGCACTAGTGCAGAATTTGTGAATGTTAGGTAAGTTACTTCCTGAATGCTAGCCAAAGCCTGAATGTGAAAGGGGTGTAATATAAATAGATTAGGTGGCACGTAAATTGCTTCCTGAATGCTAGCCTAAGCTTGAATTTGAAAGGGATATTACATTAAAAAGTTTCAGCATAATAGTCACTAAAAAACAAGCAAAAATACGTATCATATTATTTTTTTAACCTCATTTGAGTTAGAGACCATTCCAAGGATGGCAGCAACTTTTATTACATCATAGCTTTGGTATGACATGCTCGTACTGCCATAGTAACAACATTATCTGCATTTACTCCCTTGCCAAACAAAATTTGAAATTGTTAACAGTAAAAAGTATATTAAGTTATTAACAAACATAGGAAAAAAATTCAACTGGTTAGTGGGTCATAAATCTTAAGATTTTTGCATTAGGTATCTATAATCATTACAAGCCAGAGATCACTTATTCAGAAATTCAAGTATCTTCTAGCAAGTACTAGTACTTCTAAGCATTATAACCTTTTCTTAATTTTGAAGGAAAATTGCTCTATGATTTTTCAAGGGCATGAGTTTTTTGTCGGACCCTTAGTTGATTTATTATACAAAAAATCTATGGATAACTTACAGAATTAACATGCTTGCAGATGCATATTCTGAAGAAACAAGGCAATGCAAATGATGAGAGGTCTAACCTTTACCTACAATAAATTTTATTGGAACTATGGGTTCATTAGATATCAAACCTCCATTGTCAGCCAAAATTCATACAGAAATTTTTAGTATTCAAGCACAAGTACAAAATATTCCCCTTGTATTTAAGTTTCAATACATTCCCAAAAAAATTAAAAAAGGACAGATATTTTCATTTAGATATGATTTCAGGTGTTGTGAAATTAAACCTTTAGTTCATCAAGGTGTTGCTGATGCTCCTATTTATATAGCTTATAGAGACATGTTTTCCTAATTTTTAAAGTGCTTGGTGCAACATTATCATCTCTTGTATTGGTGTATGATATGTCACACTGTAGATACTTTAATCTTTCTTGAGGTGAGTGACAAGTTAGAAAGTTCAGTTATCATATTCTTATATCCAAATAAATTGTCAAATTAAGGAATACAAGCACCAAGTCTAAACAGAGAAATAGTCAATTGCAGCCAAGTTTTAATACCAAAAAAACAAGAAATGACCCGAGTTCAAGTTAATGTCAATTTAACATCTGCGTTGAATGTGATGGGAGCAAAGAACTCTCGTGTTGTACCTTGTACACAAGATGAATTGAAATACGATCTCTAAATGAGAAATAACCAAAATGCATTTGTGATGCATATATACATCTAACCATAACAAAAGATCCAATGAAAACATCAACAATACTTAGATACCTTTAAACCAACTACTCAAATCAAGCATTAAACAATGAAATACTCAAATAAAGCATTAAACAATGGAATACTCCTTGTTATTTAGATGATTGCAACTACTCTAAAGGCCTCAACTCCGTCATCAAACGACAAGCACAAAACTAGTCAGAGAATAAAGACCAAACTAAGTTTTAGTAGTTCAATTATCTTTTTTCTAAGCACTAATTAAACTCATTTTATCAAAATTCAATAGAAACCCATTAAATTATAATTTCCAAAGAACTAAATAAGATGAACCCACTCTATTTTTCTTTTTTGTTTTTTCAGTAGTTTCCCAAAACCCCCAAATTGTCAAATTTTGAATAGGAAAAATTAATAATAATCACCAGCCACAAATAAATAATTTTCAAATATGGCAATTTTAATTATCCAAACAAAACTAACAAAAACCAGAAAAATTAAAATGGAATCTAGAATTACATACACTTTGTAAATTGAATAATTTCTCTACTTAGCGTGGGTTGACGGCAGTGGGTCGGAAGTGTAGATAGAGGTAACATAGAACTGTGTGCAATGAGAGAGGATTCTAACCGAAAACATAGAATTAAGGGTGATAGAAAATAGAAGTTGGCCAGTCTTTGTCATTTTGATCGTTGCTGTGCTGTGGCTGTTCAAAATTAACTGCAAAAACTTATTGATTTTTATAATGCAACCTTGATTAATTATTGATTTTGGGTGTGTGTGATGATTTTATGATGTTTTAATAATGATTAATATGTATATAATTTTCAGATCTGGTTTTTGAATAAAAAACCCCAAATTGAAAACCCTAGATTTCTAAATTATTGTTTATTGATGGAATTTGATTGTAGTTGATTATAACTATTGAAATTAATGTTTTTACAGCAAGTTTGTGAGTTTTTATAATGCTGGAATTTTTATATAAAGGCTAGAATTATGTTTCTTGAAAGGATTTTTTATTACCCATTAATTGGGAATAAAAGTACGTGGTTTAAATTAATTTTCAGCATGTTTTAGAAGCTTTAAAAATGATTTAAAGAGTGTATATATTGCTAGAAATTTATTATGAATAGGTATTAATGTCTCTTTATAATTTTGGGTTGTAGGAGACTTCCAAATGAGTGATTTTGTGTAGTCGTGGCGATTTTGAGATCATATTCGAGGTACGTTCGCGTAATCGGTAATTATTTAAGTGTGTAGTAGCATGGTAGGCTTTGTTTAATTAATTCCAAGGTAGTATCATGATATGTATCGGTCGGAATTGTTGATTGGATTGATGTTGGTGATTGATTTGTGAAGTATGGATTATTTGTGGTGAATTGATGATTGGAATGAATTAAGCTTTGTTTTCAAATACTTGTAACACAGTCTTGTGGGACGCACTTTGAGCTCGAGATTATATAATGTAAATGACCAAATTAATCAAAATTAATTTTACATGGTACATGTAGGCGTCGCTCGAAGTGCATCTACTTTAGCATAGGTGAAAATACTTAGCAATCGTAGGAGGTTTGATTAACATATACGATAGGGACAAGGGCTAAAGTAAAGAAGCGCCAACAAGTTTGTAAGAAACATGTAAACTGTTCATGGTAACTATAAAAGGGACAAAGGCAAGTAGGCAACCGCGAATATTAATCCGTGAAAGTTACACCCCATTCACAATCCACGAGATTGCTAACTCCATATAGTCAATGAACCACGACTAGAGGATCGGGGATGATGGTACGAAATTGAGCCAATGAGACAATTTCGTCTGTATTGGCCTCTACTCGATTCTTATTGCGACAAGTATTAATCTGCAATCCAATTGACATACAAACAATATTCAATTTGATCCAAACTAATATTACTATGGCATAATTCTAATATAGTGATTGTTTAGGGTAAAAATACTACCTCACCACGTGGTCCAATCCTATGGTGACACATGGCCTAATAAAAATGTGATACGTGTCCCAAAAGGAAGATGACACGTGGCAACATGAGAACACCTAAAAGAGGAAAAGGCAACTATTACATCAAGAGACCCAATTTGTAACACCCTAGAAATTCCTTACCTTTAAAATACCTACTTTGCTCTTTTAAAATACGAAATAAGAAAATCTAAGACATTAATGCCACCATGAAAACGGCTGAGGCAATTATCAAAGACACACAACGGAAGACTCACTTTAAAAACCATTCAAAACATGTCAACTCAAAAGGCAAACCAAACGAAAGTACAATCAAACAAAGTCAACTTAAAACGGCTGGGTGGCAGCGGCGCCTGGGTTAGGTGGCCGGCAGTAGGGCAGCAGGTGGTCGGCAACAAGTGGGGATTGCAGTGAGTAATGACTCACGTAGGAAAAGGAGAAAGAAAGGAAGAAAAAAACAGAAAAGAAAAAAAAGGAAAAAGAAAAGAAAAAAAATAAAAGAAAAAGAAAATAAAGGGAAAAGAAATAAAGACTAACCTTTTTGTGTGGGGGGAAATTTGGGGATTTATGGTGTATTTATAGGAGAGAGTTGTAGGGTAAAATTGGGCCTCATGAAAATAATGGGTCAATCAAGTTATTAAAATGGATTGGCTTTTTGTTTTGTATGGGCATAAATTGTAGAATGAACACATAAAATTCCTTATGTAATAAAATAGTTTATCAACCTAAAAATAATAATTTGAAACTTATAAAATAAATTCAGGAAAAATACCAATAAATATTATAAATAAAATAAAATTTCATTTATAAAATATTTAAAAATACGAGGGATTACAAACTACCCCTCTTAAACGAAGTTTTGTCCCGAAACTCAGCACAAAATCTCTTAAAGTGCAAAATATTTGCATAAAACCATTTAAAATTTTCAATATTATGTTGCTGGATGGAATTCCAATTGTGTCTTACTATCAACACTAATACCTTATCACCATCCCAAATTACGTCTTTACTAGATACGCAAACAATAAAATAGCTATGAAAAGCATAAAACACCACAAAGTAGCATAAAATAGGGCAAAAAGCGCGAAATTACATGCATTCTACCCCCATTAAAGAACAAGAGTTACGCCCTCGTAACTCACCTCATTAAATAACTCAGGGTATCTCTTTCTTATATCATCCTCGGCCTCCCAAGTAGCCTCCTCATACTCTTGGTTTGACCAAATAACTTTAACAATTCTCACATCCTTATTGCGTGTACTACGCACCTTATAATCCAAAATTTTCACAGGCTTTTCCTCATAAGTCAAAGTCTCATCTAACTGAATCGATTCAGGTTGTAGCACGTGCTTAGGATCAGGAACATACTTTTTCATTTGAGAGATATGAAACACATCATGCATTTTCTCAAATTCCGTAGGTAATGCCAATTTATAAGAAACCTTGCCAACACGTTCCAAAATTTCATAAGGACTTACATACTTGGCACTCAATTTGCCCTTCTTTCCAAATCTCATCACTCCTTTTGTAGGCGAAACCTTCAAAAAGACTTTATCACCTACATTAAACTCATCATCTCGCCTTTTCAAATCGGCGTAGCTTTTGTACCTATCTTATGCAGCTTGAATTCTCGAGCGAATCAACTTCACTTTATTCACCATTTCCTCAATATACTCTGTTCCTAAGACAAGATTCTCACTGTAGTCATTCCAACATACAGGACTTCTACACTTCCGACCATATAATGCTTCAAAAGGTGCCATGACAATGCTAGCATGGTAGCTATTATTGTAATAAAACTCAATCAAATCCAAATGATCCTCCCAAGTACCTTGAAAATCCAAGGCACACACCCTTAGCATATCTTCCATGGTTTGATTGGTCCTTTCATTTTGTCCATCCATTGTTGGGTGGAACGCAGTACTCATTTTCAATGTTGTTCCCAAGTTGGCTTACACCTTTTGCCAAAATTTGGACAAGTACCTTGAATCTCGATCGGAGATGATGTTCTTAGGCACTCCGTGTAGTCGAACTACATTCTTCACATACACCTTTGCCAATTGTTTCTTTTTCCAAGTTTCCTTTATTGGAATAAACACCGCAGACTTTGTAAGTCGATCTGCAATCACGCAAATTGTGTCATTGCCACTTTTGGGTCTAGGCAATCCTGTGACAAAATCCATGGATATTGAGTCCTATTTCCAACATGGAATCTTCAAAGGTTGGACCTTTCCCATAGGCCTCTTGTGATCAATCTTGACCTTTTGACAAGTCAAGCATTTACTCACAAACTCATTTACTTCCTTCTTCATGTTTGGCAACCAGTACAACTCTTTCAAGTCCTTGTACAATTGTCCCCTCCCGGGTGCACAAAATATGGAGTATTATGGCTTTCTTCCATGATTTTTATCTTTAAATCCTCACACTTTTTTGGTACGCACCACCTTTCTTTGTAACTCAAACTTCCATCATCATGGATCTTGAAATCTTCATTTTTCCCTTGGCTCATTTTCTCCTAAATCGATTGGATTCCTTCATCACCTTTCTGACTCTCTTTTATTTCATCCAACAATGAACTCCCAAGTGAAATAGCACTCAACTTTGCTTCTACTTCACCATAGTTTACAACCTCCAAGTTCAAACATTTCATATCTTCACATAACTCGTTAAGCACGATTAAAGCATTCATACCATGACTTGATTTCCTACTCAAGGCATCCGCAACAACATTTTCTTTACCTTCATGGTATTGTATGTTTACGTTATAGTCATTGAACAACTCCAACCAACGCCTCTGTCTCATATTGAGATTTGTCTGAGTGAAAATATACTTGAGACTCTTATGATCCGTAAAGATCTTACACCTTACTCCATACAAATAATGCCTCCAAATCTTCAATGCAAACACTATAGCCACAAGCTTAAGATCATGTGTAGGGTAATTAACTTCATGAGATTTGAGTTGGGGAGAAGCATAAGCTATCACCTTCCCATTTTGTTGCAACACACACCCTAATCCATTCTTTGAAGCATCACTATATACTTCAAACCCATCACTCCCATCATGTAAGGCTAAAACAGGTGCAGTTGTTAAACGCGCTTTAAGAGCTTGAAAGGCTTGTTCACACTTCTCATCCCATTCAAAATTACTTTCTTTCTTCATCAAGGTAGTTAAGGGTCTAGCAATCTTTGAAGAATCCTTCACAAACCTTCTGTAATAGCCAGCTAGTCCCAAGAAACTCCTTATGTCAGACACGTTCTTAGGTGTAGGCCACTCACTCACAGCTTGAATCTTTGCTGGATCCATAGAAACACCTTTTTTAAACACATAATCCCAAAAATGCAACCTTCTTTAACCAAAACTTGCACTTCGAAAACTTAGCATACAACTTATTGTCTCTAAGATTTCTCAGCATAGTCCTCAAATGCTCCTTATGTTCTTCCTCACTTTTCGAGTATACCAAAATATCATCAATAAAAACAACCACAAACTTATCCAAATACTCATGGAATACTCGATTCATCAAATCTATAAAGATTGCAGGTGCAGTGGTCAACCCAAAAGACGTGACTGTAAACTCATAGTGCCCATATCTAGTCCTAAAAGCAGTCTTAGGTATATCCTTATCAGCAACTCTTAGTTGATGGTACCCCGAACGTAAATCAATCTTGGAAAACGCACCTTGCTCCCTTCAATTGATCAAACAAATCATCGATCCTGAGCAGTGGGTACTTATCCTTTATCATTACATTATTCAATTCTCTATAATCAATGCACAATCTCATGTTCCCATCTTTCTTCTTAACAAACAAAACGGGTGCTCCCCAAGGAGATGCACTTGGCCTAATATATCCCTTATCCAATCATTCTTGCAATTGCACTTTCAACTCCCCTATCTCAGCAAGTGCCATTCTATATGGTGCCTTAGAAATCGATGTTGTTCTAGGAACCAAATCTATTGCAAAACTCCACTTCCCTCGTTGGTGGCATCCTGGAAATCTTATCAGGAAATACATCCAAAAACTCATTCATAATTGGCACATCTTCCACATTCACCTTATTACTCATTTCCAAGTCTTGCACACAATAAAAGAACAAAGGATACCCCTTTCTCACAAGTTTTGTTAACTTTATTACAGAAATAATCCCAATACCTTTTGGTTTCCCAAAACATCTATAAGATACAGTCTTTCTCAAAGGACTCCATAAATAAACCTTCTGTATCTCACAATCAATCTTAGCTTTATAAGTAGCCAACAAATCCATTCCCAATATAACATTAAGGTCACCTAACTCAAATTCTATAAGATTAGATGGAAAATCAGTTTCTCCAATCCTCAAAAGTAAAATCTTAATAGGCAAGTCAATCGAGTTCGGTTCAACTAGTCCTAGTTGTTTCACAACAGAACTAGAAATAAAAGAATAGGTGGCTCTAGAATCAAACAAAGCTTTAACAGAAATAAAATGAATAGAAAAGTTACCAGTGACAACATCAGAAGGCCTTTCAGCTTCCTTCTTGCTCATTACAAACAAACGACCTGGAGTGACATTTTTTCCTTGATTCCCAGAGTTGTTGTTGCCAACATTTTCGTTCTTTGCATTCCCATTATGACCATTCTGTTAAAAATTTAGAGTGTTGATGGTTGCGCGCTCGCGAACCATGAAGAAGCGCCCGCGCAAGTTAGGCGCAGCCGCGCAGAAAGCGCGCCTAAACCGCGCACCTCTCTGGAAATTTGCAAATTAGAAGGGTGAGGATGGCTGAGTAGAAATAAAGGCAACTCTATCATGAGATTCCTAAACCGCGCACCTCTATGGAAATTTCCGGACGCACCACCAGGAGGAGCGGGCGCTCCTATATTAGGAGCGAGCGCTCCTCCAATATCTGCAAAAAATCACAAAAGGCAGTGAGGGGCGCAGTTTAGGTGCAATTTGCAAATCACATGATAGAGTTGCCTTTATTGCCAAAGTCAATGCCACCAGTGGCAATCCATTGTGATTCCAATTCGGCGTTGATAAAGGCTTATAGTCAAGTGTGCAATGGTAAGTCTCGGCATATTTCACTAAGGCATAGCCTAGTGAAAGAGCTTATCAATGATGGGGTCATAAGTCTTGACTATGTTCCAGCAAAGTTAAATTTGGCAGATTGCTTTACAAAGGCAATGCCAAGACATTCCATCATATTTTCTATGAATGGAATGGGTTTATGTCCAAAAACACGAATTTGTAAAACCCAATCTAATGCTTGAAGAAACATCAAGTCTTAGATTCAATGTGGTTGAATTGCATTTTTGTTGTTTGATAGCAATATTTGATGACCCATATTGCTATGTTACTTGTGATGTGTTAAGTAGCGTCTATTTAAAGTTCTCAAAGATTTAGAGTTGAGAAGCTCTAAATGAAGGTGTCTTATCACAAGGGCACTATTACGTATATGAGAACCTGCCTATATGAGTTCGAAGTTTAGCTGCTTCAAGAAGTCTAGATGGACATATAGACTTTGATGAACTTATGAAGGATACGGACACATGGTTGTATAAAAGTGTCAAGTGATGATAAATTCGATTTCTCTTGTGTGTACTTCACCTTCGAATGGTTGGATATATCCGTGTGATTCAATCCGTATGGAAATCATGGGATATAATCATCGTTAAGTGTGTTGTACTAGGTGTCAATTCAATCCCTAGGGACATTGGCATTGATGCATGAGATGTGGTTTAATTGTTAGAAGTGGAGAATGTTTTAAAGGAACACTCTAAATGGGGGAGGATTGTTGAATATTTAGAGTGTTGATGGTTGCGCTCTCGCGAACCATGAAGGAGCGCCTGCGCAAGTTAGGCGTAACCGCGCAGAGAGCGCGCCTAAACCGCGCACCTCTCTGGAAATTTGCAAATTGGAAGGGTGAGGATGGCGCGCCCGCGCTGCTGGTCGTGCCTAAACCGCGCCCCTCACTGCCTTTTTGTGATTTTTTGCAGATATTGTGAGGAGCGCCCGCTCCACCTGGTGGCGCGCCTGCGCCTCCTGGTGGAGCGCCCACGCCTCCTTGTTTTGCGGTTTTTCTTGACGGTTATGTCTTTTATTAAAAGACAAGTTTCGTGAGAAAAAGTTACAGAAGATTATTCTTCATTTCCCAAAAAAGTATTTTCTCCACATTTTCTCTCAAATTTCTTGCAACTTTTGTGAGAAAAACTCTAATAATTTAACCAAATTTGTGAATTTGTCATCTTTATTTCGATTCTTAGTGCAAAGAACGAAATTGCTGTCTTTTGTATCTCAAAGAGGATTTCCGGATTGAACCCAAGCACCGTTGTGGGGGAAATTAACCTCTTTAGGAAAGTGTTTACACGCCTAAGACAATGTATCAAGGATTGAGACTCAAGTGGTCATTAACATTCTCATGTTCATATTCTTGGTGAAGGCTTGGAGTTGAGGCAAGTATAGAATTTTTCACATTAGTGTTTTCTTTTGTAATTTCTGAATTACATAGTATATTTGGTGCTTGGATTGTAATACTTTGATTAGTATTTGGATTGTTTTATAATTTGATATTAATTATACACTGTTTAGGTTTTGTTCCCACAATTTTAAGTAGTTCTTTGTTATTTGGATTACTGTAAAACCTAACACATTCGAATTCCCTCCTTGATTGCTTGTTGGAGTAAACTTGGTCCCATTTCCTTGTTGCTTCAATTTGGAAAAACACTCAACTCCTTATGGCCCTTCTTGTTACAGAACCTACACACAACCAAGTTTTCATCGCAATCCTTTCCAGGATGATCCTTTCCACACCTCTTGCAATTGTAATGCCTCTCAGCTTGGCCAATAGGTCTAGATGATCCTCCATTATTATGAAAATTTCTATTATGGAAATTCTCGTTCCTTAGCTTCTTGAAGTTACCTTGGTGACTCGAATTCCCAAAATCCCTTCGCTTTTCTCCAACATTTCCACTCTCAGGCGCACTCTTGACATTCAGACTATACAGGTGTGTTGCTCTTCCATAAACCTTATCAAGAGTCTTAAAGGTATTTCCAGCCAAGTCCTTCTGTAACTGCTTAGTCAAACCTTGCTCAAATCTTTAAGCCTTCGACTCCTCAGTAGGCACTACTTTAGGAGCAAACCTTGATAAGTTCATAAACCTGTTATAGTAATCAGTAATCGACATATTGTTCATTTGCAGATTGATGAACTCCTGAGCCTTATGGTGGATAGAACTTCTCCCTAAGTTTGGTCTTGAAAGTCTCCTAACCAAAATTAGCCTCAGCACGAATCACATCTCCATTATCCCTCCACCAAATATCTGCCTCTTCCGTCAAATACATGACAGCTTCATCTAGTCTCATATTCTCAGGGTAATTCAAAGCAACAAAGATCTTATCCCTAACCCATTTCTCCATAAAAGTTGGGTCTCCACCTCCCTTAAAGTATAGTGGCTTGACCTGAGCAAGCTTCTTAAACATCTCACCAGCGGGATCAGGATTATCATTGCGATTTTGGTTCAAGTTCTCACCTAGTAGCCTAATGGCATCCGCTAAAGCATCGTTGTTAGCCATCCTCCTCTGCCTGGAAGTATAACACACTCTTAGGCCAACGTCGACACAAAAGTACTCTACTTGCATAACACACCACATTCATGAACATAAAATACATTAAGGTAGAAAGGTGAACAAGGCCACACAATCGCCCCTAATAAGTCACTTTTAAAGGAAATGATTATTAAATTTTAATCATTCCTACGCATAAGAAAATTAAATAAAATAATTCCCTTGATTCAATCCCCACCAAAATCAAGTAAATAACATAATTAAATAAACACATATTATTAGTCACATAATTACATGCTCCACATAATGTTTATTTACACATATCACATACCACAAATCATCACATACCATTCCATATTACATGCTTTAATCCTTAAACATGATACTAGGTGATCACACTCAAGTTTGCACCATTACATAAACATACACAATTAAATAACTTGCATAATCACTTCATACAAGAATAAAAGCACAAAATAATTAATTACAATGCATATAGAAAGAAATAATCTATCCTATACGCCCTTTCTAATACTACCCAAATCTCACCGATAAAATAAAATAAGCACGCAAGTTATAAGAATAAAATAAATTATTATATTCATCTTATTTCAAAATAATTAAATAACACAATATATATATAAAACACGAAAAATCCATTTTTTTATAATAAATGCCGAATTAAATTTATTAAATAAAATAATTTTCAAAAAATTTAATTAACTTTAAATAAAGTAGTTAAAATAAAACTCATTAGATTTAAAACGTTAGGCGCCTAAAAACTTTAAAATTGGCTTTAATGGTAATTAAAAATCTAACCAAAGCTCCTGGATACCACTTTGTAACACCCTAATAATTTCCCCTTTTCCAAACCACTTATTGTAAATAAAATATAGGAGAACCATTGGCATGTTACCGCCACATGTTAAAACATTAAGGCTTTATCAAAGTATCGCAGTGGAAAAACCAAACTTAAGTTTTTAAAATAATATAATAAAGAAAACCCATAAGTCAAAGCTTACAAATTGGAACCATAAAGGCCCTTATTTAAAACCAAACCAATATTCAAAATCTAAAGCATGAACGAAATAGTAAAACATAAATAAGTTCAACACAAGGAACGAATACTCTCAATCACACTAATCCCTTGACAATGCGTTTGCCAAATCCCTAAACTTCACATCATCAAGCTAACCTGTGCAATACTGCTCCCCAATAATACAAGTGTAATAATTGGATCATCACAGGGTCATTGAAAGGCAAAGGCCATGACCAAAAGAAAACACACAAAAGCATGCAATAAGCAAAGCTGAGTACATACAAGCTACAACGCAGCAAACCTAACATGCTCAACTAATTAAAGCAAATAACATTCAACATGAATTCATTAACCAAGACTCCACACTAAAATAGTTCAATCAATTCAACATACTCACTAACCAACTCCAAACACTTGACTCTTTATATTTAATTTAATTAATTTAGTTTGGAGTAAGCAATAGACGAGGTTGTCCATTGGTCCCAAACGACCATTTAAAATAAAAATATAGCGCGATGTAAGAATAGGCGTGACTCCATTCTCACAAAGTTAGTCTAGGATCTCATCTAACTTTCATTATAAAATAAAAATGTAAATACCAAAACAAAAGAAAACATGTTGATCAAACAAGCCTCGGGCCACGGGCTACCACCGTGTACCCCAACCCATAATTGTCAACACTCCAGAAGTGCACACTTTCCAGAGTTTTATTGCTCATCCATGTTTCACTTTACGTGATTTCAAGTTTAATTAATAGCCGACTCATTCAAGTAAACCATACATTATAATCATACATATAATTCACTGTTAATCTTATTTAGGACAATGATGATCACATCACAAATTGACCTTTAATTCTTTTAAATTCCAAATTACCAAAATTGTTGAACATAGTCAACCCACCTAGCCATTTCGGCTTAATCCACCTTTACTCAACATACTAACAAGTCATGCTTGAGTAATAAATAAAATAATAATAACCTCATAGAATAATTAATAAATTCATTCCTCTTAAACCATTCAATTCCAATCCTTCAATAATCCAAATGTGGTTAACAAACCAATCCAATATAATAAAGATATGCTTGTATCAACATTTCATACAAACAATTAATAATCCAATTCAACATGTTTGCATCCACAATTCCATATAAACATAATCAATTTACCAAAACATGTCTCATAAACATAAGCACATGAATTAATTCAATGTTTAACCAAACAATTTCCATCCAAGAGTTCTCTAAACATGAAACTAAGTTCTTTCCTTTTGGTACCTAAACATGATACTACTTACAACGAAATAGACATGTACATACCTCGGATAAAAAATTCTTTGTGCCACTTTAAATCACTTAAAAGTCTCCTAGGGAATAATCACCTCCTAAAAAACAACCAATAATCAAATATTAATATCCAAACTAATTTGCAGCAATATAAATTTGATTAAAACTCACTAAAACTCCCTTTAAAACATGTTTTTATGCTTAATTAATCATTAGAATTTCATAAGGTGCAAAAGCCCCAATATACTTGCTTATAAGAACCCTAAAATCCCAATTAAAATATATTAAAACCCTACGTTTATAAATCATAAGATCTGAAAAATTAAATCAACACTTATAATCTAAAATTTATAGTTTAAACCATCAAAAATATTGTTTTGATACTAAATAAACTAATTTCAAACAACAAAAACCAAAACCCAAAACAAATTAATAATTTTTTAAGCAAAATAAAAAAAAGAAAAAAAAAGAAAACAAAGGAGGAGGAAGGGGGGTGGATACCGGCTAGGTGGCAGCGGCGCCTGGGTCAGGTGGCCTGCGGTCTGGGCAGCAAGTGGGGACAACAGTGAGTAATGACACACGTATGAAAAGGAGAAAGAAAGAAAGAAGAAAAAAAGGAAAAACAAAATAAAAGAAAATAAAGAAAATAAAGGGGAAAGAAAAAAAGACTAACGTTTTTTTGTGGGGGAAAATTTGGGGATTCATGGTGTATTTATATGAGAGAGTTGTAGGGTAAAGTTGGGCCTCATGAAAATAATGGGCCAATTAAGTCATAAAAATGGATTGGCCTTTTATTTTGCATGGGCATAAATTGTAGAATGAATACAAAAAATCCTTATGTAATAAAATAGTTAATCAACCCAAAAATATTTAATAATTTGAAACTCTTAAAATAAATTCTGGAAAAATACTAATAAATATTATAAATAAAATAAAATTTCATTTATAAAATATTTAAAAGTACGGGGGATTACATACTCTATACATTTTTTTGAATTAAAATTAATTTATTGATAGAAGAGTCATAAAACATCTAACATATAAATCAAAACTAGCAAATACAATAGAAATTCAGTCAAATAATATGATAATTGGGCAAAACTACAATTGTTGTAGATGAGATTTGACATTAATGAATACCCTCTTTTCCATTGGTATTTAAAAAACCTTCCACGAGGGGCCTTTCGATCTATTTTAGAAGGAAAACAAGAAATCTAAGGGCTTACCATCAACCAAAAGGTTGGTGGTAGCCCCTGGAACAACAAAATCTTGTAAGGGTTTTTGAGGAGGAAGAGAAAGGAGAGAAAAAGGAGGGGAAGCGGCTTACTCCGTACGTAACTTGATTGTAGTGCATTTTACAATGGACAAAAATCACAAATCAGAAAAAAAAAAAAAGTCTAACAGAATCCAAAATAATCCTTGTGTGAGCCCCTTGGATTAATTGATCTGAGTTTTCTACCAGAAGCTACATTAGTATTTACTTTTGTTAACCTAATGATATACATACTAAAGTTTTGAGTTATCACCATATTAGAGTTAGAGCAAAAACTTGCACCAAGAGGTTAGTAGAAAATCACATGATTCTGGAGCATGGTTAAGCAACAAGAAAAGTTCCCAATCTATGTGCAGCCCATTCGCAAAATACTGTATTACTTCGTTATAGAGACTAAGCGACAGGCATCTGGCAAAGGCACTCTATCTTTTTCACTCTGGCCTATCTTCCAAACTTTGAATCTTGAAGCATAGGTAGCAGATAGTTCATTCCATTGCTTGAGCAAGGACATTTTATAGGGTCCCCTAACGTCTCCGCATGGACCTATGCAATACCATTCATCAGGGTCTTTTTCTGTAGCTGCATGCCTTCTGAGTTTCTTCTTTTCTTGCTCATCATCATCATCACTTAAATCAATGATCTGCACCACCTCCGTCTTTAGTTCCACTTCTTTCTTATAATTTAAGTGATCTGATCCTTGTACCACCCCAGGTTTTTGGTCCACATCTGTCTGAAGTTCAAATTGATCTGATCCTTGCACTTCTCCAGTGTTTTGTTCCACATCTGTTCGAGATACCAAGTGGTCTGATTTTTGCAAAACCATTTTTTGTTTCACATCCGTCTGAAATTCAAAGTGATTTGATCCTTGCACCACCCCAGAATTTTGTTCTGCATCTGTTTGATATTCAAAGTGATTTGATCCTTGCACCACTCCAGAATTTTGCTCTGCATCTGTTTGATATTCAAAGTGATCTGATCCTTCACTTTCCATCTCTGTATTAGGATCATGTTCACTTTGAGCTGCTGCAGAATGGAGCTCTTCTCCTTTGTAAGATGACACAACAGGATTCTCTTTTTTACATGCTAAGAAAAAAAAAATAAATAAATAAATAATAAACAACAAACTATTCCCCGACATTGTGCTACTGTATTGCAATGAGAAATCTAGTAGACACAAGTTATCTTGAAAACAGGACAACTGAATGAACCTTATATATTTCCCCACACACAACAGGATCCAAAGTAGTTTATCTGTCAATCTAGCACCCGAACAAAAAAAGACAGGTTTATTTATGATAGTTGTGTACTTAAACCAAATACATGCATGATAAGAAACTAGTATATATGGGCAAACAGAAATCACAATATTTGTTATTGGTACCACCTGAATTCAAACTCAAAGCATATGCAATTTCAGAACAACTGGTAGCTCTCAACTCTCAAGTCTCAACAATAGATAAAAATGTTAAAGCTAAGTGCAAAACAGCTGGATTAAAATTTATTATACTGGTATTTTTTCATTGATCTACACAGTTCACTTATGCAATGTACCTAGAAATGACATAAAAGATGAAAATTGTAAAAGGAATATTCTAAAAGTAGTTATTCTTCCATTTTTATGTCACATAATATTTTAACCTAATATTTACAGATTGAACAGATGAATACTCAGGTGTAAGCAAAAGATCTTTCTAGTGGGAAAGAGAGAATAAGAAAGGCAGAGATGAGTGCTAACCTGCAGCATCTACTCCATTTAGATTTATGCCAGAAGAAAAAGTTCTTTTCCTGCTTTCAATTGCACTAACGGAACATGTTTCAAGGTCTACATCATCAGCTATTACTTCTGGAATATTCTGTATTAGTTGTAATTGCTCTGATGGACATTCAAGCCGCCTTCTTTTTTCAGTATACTCCGCAAGACTAATCGGCTGTTAAGGTTGCAATGACAGAAGACAGAAGAAAGACGAGAATTAATCAGATTTTACCTAAGGTTTGGGAAACTGACAGAGCCAACACCTTTGTATCATCAAGTCAGCTAACTTCAATTTCCTATGCTTTTATAACTAATAAGCCACCTTTGACACCCACTTTTGGAGGTAACATTTAATATCTATGTGACCATGTGCACCTGCTTAGTTCAGTTAGCTGTTGATGCTTAGTTGAACAAGCAGTTACTTAAAAATAATTGCACTGCTCCTATAAAAAACCTGATAAAATAATTTGCAGAAAAAACTTCAGAATGACAACAGGAGAAGATGACACCACAACATAAGAAATAGGTGTCAATCACTGATCATCTCAAGTGTTCAATCGAGTGAGATCAATTTCTACAAAATTCCAATCCAACCCGAATAGGATAAAAAAGATATGCAAAAGGGTTTGGATGGCAATAAATAAATTTAAAATACAAACATGTTTCTCATCTAACAAAGCAAACTTATAGTTGATTCATCAATGTTTGCAAAGTTTGACCACTTACTGAATATAAATCAAGGATGTTTACTATAAATCAAATAACAGTCTTCCGAAACTATCTCCGCCGTTCCAAATTAGCTGACACGTACTTTTATCACGTTTTCCAATAGACATTCTGTAATCGTAAATATCTCTAATTATCAAAAAGTAAAAACTATAAAAAGTTGATATTTTGAAATACACATTGAGATGAAACTAAAAAGATCCCACGTGATTGTTTTTTCGTATTTATAAATCACAAAAGTTAGTTGAAGTAAAATTTGTAAATAGTGTCAAAAGTCCAACATATCAAGGGGAAGTATTAACTTTTGCAAGCACCAGAGTTCAATTGTCCTATAGTTAAAACAGATGATAAGCTCATTACACAACAGAAATGATCAAAGCCACAAAGGATACTCTTTTCTCCATCCTTTCTCATTTGCCTTGTCAATTAAATTCTTCAATAACGCACGTTCCTTCACAATCCACTGGACAAAACAAGAGGTTTGTTCAATAGGGGTTGGAAAAAAAAAACAATTAAAAGAAGGATGATATGAAGTATAGATGAAAATATTGTTCAATTTTGTATTTCTTGTAATGGCGTGTATATTATAAGACAATCTGATAAAGGCATACGCACTAAAAAAAAAAAAAGAAACTCTTTCATAGCAAGTCGTTAATAATTATTATTTAGTTTTTACCCTTGGGTTCTTTCCCTCTAAACTTATCATTAGCCTTATTTACGTTAAGCTCATGAGCTTGTAGTTTAGATTATAAAGTGAAAGAAAAAAAGTCACTATATTTGAAGGAGAAGTTCTCTAAAGGTAAGCTAAATGATTCTGTCGACAATTTAGTAGTGCAGTCCGAAAGCAAAGAAAACAAAGGATTTATGGAGGCATTTTCCATCGTCAAGGTTTCAAGTTCCTTTTGAGACAATTGTATAATATAGTGCCTATTTCAATTTGGAAGATCTTGAAGACATACTTTTGAACATCAATATCTTTAATTACATATTAACAAAAAATATAAAAAGTGATATTATAATACTACACATTGAGACGAATCTAACAATATCTCACATAACTATATGTTTGTTTATATTAATGAGAATATTTGGTCAAAGTTTAAAAAGTTTGACCATATAGGTAGAAATAGGCATTATATTATGGGACAAAGGGAATAATTGACATGTATTGGTATTGCAGATAAATTTCTCAATGATAGCTTAAGGGTAGTAGGATTTGCAGTTCTTAGCTCTCCTTTTGTAAATGGGTGATAGTGTGACACTACCTTCCTTATATAGCTTTGTATTATTTGCTATACTACTTGGAGTGTTCACGTTGGATACATGTACTTAATCAAAGTGATTATTTTTTGGAAGGGGAAAAAAATTAAAAATTAAAATAAAATCCATGTGATAAACTCAGCTCTTTAATGAAAAAATTCCATGCTTTTGGATTATTGAATAGTCGACAAGGATTTAACAAGTGTACTTAAGAAGAAACATTTTGTCAATAATGATTTTAAAGTAAAAATCAGCATTGCCACACCAAATTTGCAGCTAGCTCTCCACAAAACATACATGGAAATTTGAAGTAGAAAGATAAACGTATCGTGAAAAGCAGCTAGCTCTCCACAAAACATACATGGAAATTTGAAGTAGAAAAATAAACATATCGTGAAAACATATTCAGATTTAGTTATATTAGTTTGTGATTAATCTAATCATAAGTGGATGCATGAAAAGAGATTAAATAAGTTACAAATGGAAAAGGTAGGAAACCATACATGCTTGATGATGTCTTCGCGCAATTCCCTTGCCTTGTGCTCAAGCTCCACCTTTATAGGAAAAAATAGGTGTTACTACATACAATATTTCAAATCTCTTTAGTATACTCAAGGACAATAGAAGTAAAAAAAAAGGTACATGTATAAGACAACTTTAAAAATTAAATGTGGAATACAAAGCATTAACAAACCATATAGAAGACATAGAAAGAAAGTAACATGGTTCTGTAAAGTCTATTCTGAGATTAAGTCAACCATGAATTCCAACATTTAGGACAAGAAATATTTTGTATCCACCTTTATAGAAATAGGTTTCTATATAAAGATCCATATCAGTGGAGATAATAAATCATAGAATCCATGAAAGGTTTTTTTATCAAAAAGTTCTAAACTGTTATAGGACTCCTTTTGTGGACTTATTTTTACAATTATCAAAATTCTTCCTCTTGTATCAAAAGTGAGACTATATACCTGTTATTAGTCATAGATCATCCTAAATTTGTACTTCAATTGTAGAATGAAAAATATTGTCAAATGTAGAATTATCAAATAGAGAACGAACAGGAGAGCCGAGAAAAGAAGATGTTAGCACTTTGTAATCACATTACAAGAATTAAGTAGAAAGCTTGTATTCTTTATAGGTCTTCAAAATTCTTCCCAAATCATGTCAGTCCATGAAAGTCTTAATCATTCATTCAAATAAAAAAAATCTACTCCATAAATGCAATGACAATGTTTAATTTTAACAAACTCGTAAACATCTAATATAAAATATCAAACTGTTCACACATTGACACATAGGGAATATAGGAGAGAAAAAAACTACTATTACTGAGTGTGTGTGTGTGTATATATATATATATATATATATATATATATATATATATATATATATATATATATATATATATATAGTGCTGTACATCAATGAGAAACATTGAGGAAAATATCCTAATATGGTATCAGATTTCTAGGGAAAAATGATCTTTCTCCTTTCATAAGCACCCTAGCCTTCTTCTTCTTCTTCTTCTTCTTCTTCTTCTTCTTCTTCTTCTTCTTCTTCTTCTTCTTCTTCTCCATTAACCTTTTTCTTCATCTTTTCTGCTTCTCCACCATGTCAGATAATAAGAGTTCTTTCCATACGGCTCTTGCGGTTTCAAACATTCAGAACCATATCTCCATCACTCTTGAAATGGAGATTGTTCAATACTCCACATGGGAGAAACTCTCCAAAATCACCGCACGTTCTCACAAGGTCCTTCATCATATCATTCCTCCTGCCAAGGGCAAAGAGAAGGTTCCCTCGACTAAGTATGAAAAGGAAATATGGTCGACTCTTGATGCTACGTAACAACAGAGGTTCGGTCAGCAACACAGGTTCGAATTTTGGTTATCCTCCTTGGGGTTGGTTTCCTTAATGGGCTTCTCCTCCTTGCCCATATCCAACTCAAGGATGGGCCTATGGTCCAACACCTAATAACAAGCACCAACAGCCGCCGGTCTCCTTGTTCCATGCCTGTGACAACAGGCCTTTGTGGCATCTCCAAATGAGCAGCCCACATCCTATGCCCAATCAGGAATTGCCGCAGCTATGTACACTGTCACTCACCCCACCTTCTTGAAAAGGACACTAGAGCAACATCTTACATGACATCGTCCAATGATAATATCTCGTCTTATTTTAATTTGACCAATCATCCTAGATGTATTATTGTAGGAAATGGTCATACTACTCCAATTCATGGTTACGATCACACTTCTTTGCCTTCCCCTAATCCCCCATTGTCTCTAAATAATGTCCTTCATGCTCTTAAATTATTAAAATTCTTATCTCTATTATGAAGGGGAGACCAGTAATTACAAGTGATAATCGGGGTGACCTTTATCCTTTTTCCACTTCCACAAACAATCAAGCTCTTCCGCATCTCTCCTACTCTTTGGCATGATCGCCTGGGAAATCCGGGTGCTCCAGTTTTAGATGCTCTTAGGCTCAATAAAAGCATTGATTGTAATTGTATTTCTAATTTTAGCATTTGTCGGTCTTGTGTGTTTGGAAAACATATTAAGTTGTCATTTGTTTCTTGTAATTCAAGTACTACTATGTCTTTTGATATTATTCGTAGTGATCTTTGGTCGTCACCTGTTTTGAGTTCAGCGGGACATTAAATATTACTTCCTCCGTTTTTTAATACTTGCATTACTTCCCTAAATTGGAAATGTCACAATACTTGCAACACAAAAGTTATTTTAGGGAAAAGTTGTGCTATTTCCCTTATTTAAAGCACATGACCCACTAAATTATACTCCTAACAACCTCTCACCCCATTTTAAAAGTACATTAATTCATATGAACCCTGCTTTTCTTAAATATCGTGAAAAAGTGTGTATTGCAACTCTTAAAAAACGGAGGAAGTATGTCTTTTTATAGGATGATTTCTTTAATTTCCTATGGGCTTTTCCGTTGGCTAGAATATCCGATGTGTTTGACAAATTCTTAGCTTTTAAAGTCCACATTCTCACTCAATTTGAACGTAATATTAAAGTGCGCAATGTGACACTAGAAGGGAATTTGACAATGATGTGTTTTGGGATTTTTGTAAAACCAATGGTATGACATTCCGTCTTTCTTGTTCCCATACTTCTCCACAAATGGTAAAGCTGAAAGAAAGATCCAAACTACAAATAATATCATTCGTACTCTTTTAGCACATGCCTCCCTCCTTCCTTTTGGCATCATGCATTACAAATGGCTACTTATCTTCTTAATATCCTTCCAAGCAAGGTTTTGGGTAATCTATCTCCTCTTCAAATTTTATACCGAAGGATTCCACCCTATTCTCACATTCAGGTCTTTAGGTGCTTGTGTTTTCCACTCATTCCTTCCACCACCATTAATAAGTTACAACCCCGATCGACTCCTTGTGTATCTTTGGGTTACCCTCCGAATCATCGCGGCTACAAATGTTATGACTTATCTTCAAATAAAATATTTGTCGTCACGTTCTATTTCATGAGCATGTTTTCTCATTTGCCCAACTACACACCCTCTCCCCTCATATGTATGATTTTTTGGGTGATGATCTTTCTCCTTACAATCTTCACCAATTACAAAATCTACCCACTAACAGTCCAGTGTCAACCAGCCCAACTCGCTGAGGTGTCTACTCCTACCTGTTGACGACCAAACACAAGCTGGTCCACCTCCTCCTATAGGGAACCCCAGCCAGCGACCCCCCCTACTTCTCCTACTGTCCGTATCTCACCTAGTGGCCCAGATCCCACTAATTCACCTACTCCTCCAAAGCCACAAAACTCTCCCAACCTACAACTCACTCTACTAACTTCCATTCAAATACTTCAAGCCCAACATTCACCATTCTCATCTACTCACATCCAGCAGCCCAAAATTGTGACATGGAGCCAAAATGGTAATTTCAAGCCAAATAAAAAATATGCTATGCAAGCTATGGTTACGAGATTTCCCTTACCTCATAATCCAGTAGAGGCTCTTCGTGACCCGAATTGGACATGGATGATGAATATGATGCTCTTATTAAAAATAAGACGTGGGAACAATGTTACAAGGTACGCGATTCGATTCGAAACGTGGTACGGAAACGGATATGCGGCACGGTACCCATGATGAATCCGGTACGATGGGTACGAAATAAATAAATTAATAAAATATATGGGTGATTTTTATTAATAAGATTTTGATTTGGAAAATACTACTCTATAAAACGTAGTTGTATCGATCCTAGCTTGAATTTATGTGGGTCGGTGGATTGCTTAAGAAAATAGAGTACATAAGTATATACTTGTATAATAAAAAGCCCAAAGATTTAAGCCCATTTGGAATAGAACCCTAGCCGCCACCCTATGTAGTACAAATAAATAAATAATAAATAAAAATAAAAATATCATTATAGACTTAAATCTTACTATTACTACTATGTAAAACAGGAGAGAGGAGAGAGAAAAAACTACTCCTAAGATATAAAATAAGAAGAGAGAGAAATTGCATAGGAAATATCGGGAAGAAACATTGGACGTTGCATAAGAAGAATAACCGCTTAGCTGCTACCAGAGTCGCCTCCTTCAGCGGTCCAGATCGCGAACCCCAGCGACCCAAGTCGCGTTTGTTTCGTGTTCCGATACACGCGACTCACTTCGTGATTTGTGGCTACATACCGCGAACCTTGTAACGCGGCGTGGGATTTAATGCCCCGTCCACCTAATGTGAATGTTATTTGTTCTATGTGGATTTTTGCTTAAAAGAAAAATTTAATAGTGTTTTTGAGAGGCATAAAGCTCGTCTTGTAGGTGATAGGAAGACTCAACATGTTGGCATTGATTGTGGCGAAACATTTAGCCCCAAGCCAGTACGATTCGCACAGTTCTTTCTCTCTCTCTTTCGAAAGCATGGCCCATTCATCATTTGGATGTGAAAAATGCTTTTAGCTTCAGGAAATAGTATATGTTCATTAACCATTGGGGTACCGACATCGTAGTCATCCGCACTATGTATATCTTTTGCGTAAGTCACTATATGGTTTAAAATAGGCACCTCAAACTTGGTATAAGCGGTTTGCAGATTATGTCATTTCTCTTGGTTTCTCAAATTGCAAATGTGACAACTTATTGTTTATTTATTGCAAAAAATCTGATATGGCTTATATTTTGCTTTATGTTGATGATATAATTTTTACTGTCTCTTCTAATGTTCTCCATGTCTCTATCATGAACCTTCTTAGCACGGAATTTGCTATTAAGGATCTTGGTCCTTTGAATTATTTTCTTGGCATTGCAGTGACCCAACATAAGGGTCATATGTTTCTTTCACAACGCAAGTATGCTGAACAAATAGTTAAGCGGCTAGCATGTCTTCTTGCAAATCCTCTCCTACTCCTGTTGACAAAGGAGAAGGTTAGTGCTACTTCTAGTGCTCCTTATGAGGATCCCACCCGATATAGGAGTCTTGTTGGGGTTCTTCAATATCTTACTTTCACTCGACCTAATATCTCATATGTTGTCCAACAAGTGTGCCTACGGGCTTGTATTGTTCACCTTATGTTTACTTATTTCAGGTTGAATAAGTTTAGAAAAGTTTAGGGTTAATAAGTTCAAAATAAAAGTTCACCTCACCTTATTTCCACTTCTTAAACTTTATAGTTGTGTTCCACCGACACCCTCCCTAACCAAGAGTATCGCGTGTCAACTCGACACGATGCGCGACATGACGCTCGACACCGCCTGGGTGGGGGTGTCGATTCGCTTATCGTAGATATCTATCATATTTTATAGCAGGATAATATAAGTTACCTTCTGGTTTCTTGAGAAACAATTAATTTATTTTTTTGTTTATAATTTTAAGTTTAATTGAAGCTTTTAAGGCTTCTTTAATGGAGGAAGATGACAAAATGTTGAAGAAGGAAGATGAAGGTAGTGTAATGGGATAGCCAATATAGTCACATAGAGAAGGCCAATAAAATTTGTGGACCCCGTTGCCCCCTTCTCTTTCTTAGCTCTTCCTTTTTTTTAAATCCTTAAATGAGTTAATTTTGTACAGATGTAAATGAATAACTTTAAAAAATTTCATTATCTTTTGTTGTTATTTACCGGTAAGTTAGATTTTCTTTATAAAAACATACAAGTATCTTAAAATTTTCCGACACGACAGTTTGGACACATTGTTAGTGATGTTACCAAGAAATTCCCCCATCCACTTAATTTTAGTTGACTGAGCATATCCAAATACTTTTGGATATCATATGCCAAATTTTGAAGAAAAGGGTCCACCTGTTGGAAACTTAGAGCATTATAATTATTGACACTCCTCATTACGTACAATAATTGAAAGATATTTCGACGTATTAAAGAATAGATGGAAGATCTTAAAGATGATGCCAGCAATGGATGAAGCATTTCAATTGTATATCATTGTTGCAACATTTACGCTTTACAATTTCATCCATCTATATGAATTAGAGATACTAATTTTTCAAGAGGTTAAAGAAATAGAGACTAGAGCATATTATAATATGTATGATACACCAAGGAAAAAAGCTATGAACCGTATTCGAAAAAAAAAAATAACAAAAGATAAATGGGAGTCGGTTGGAGGTGTCGTAGAGGATGATACTGAAGAAGGAAGTGATGACAGAAGATGACGATACGAACTTTTAAAAGATTAGAATTATATATGGTGTTATTGCTACATACACTTTAGATGTTTTTTTTATTATTGAAATAATAAAAATGCTATTATTTTCATATACTATTGCTTTTAATACATTGTTATATACTCATATTTATACAATAAGTTCTAAGAATGGCAAATAATATCTAATAAGGTCTTATAAGCGCTAATAAGGTCAAATAAGTGTCAAAAAGTATTCATAAGGTGTAATAAGTTTAGATAAGTTCATATAAGGGAAGTCAAGTAAAGTTTAGTAAGTTCAGAAAAGTTAAGATAAGTAAAAATCTGGTGAATAAGAGTTGACCATATGCAAGCTCTCAAATGTATTATCCGGTATATTCAAGGTACACTTACTCATGATCTCCATCTTTATTCATCTTCGATATCATCTCTTATTTCTTATACTAATGCTGATTGGAGTGGTTGCCGGATACGAGACGATCTACTTTTGGTTATTGTGTATTTTTGGGTGATAATTTGGTGGCTTCGTCTTCTAAGAAGCAACCTACCCTCTCACGGTCTAGTGTACAGGCCGAATATAGAGGCATGGCAAATGTAGTATCTGAACCCTATTGATTACGAAATTTGCTTTTAGAGTTGCACTAAAAAGGCTACACTAGTTTATTGTGACAATGGGAGTGCAATCTATTTATCGAACCTGGTACAACATCAACGTACCAAGCATATCCAAATGGATATTCAATTTTGTACGGAAAAAGGTTGCACGTGGTCAGATTCGTGTTCTTCATGTGCCATCACGATATCAGATCGTCGCTATTTTTGATAAGGGGCTTCTGCGGGTTTCTTTTTAACAATTTCCGAGACAGCCAGCGTCCATCTACCTCCTGTTTCGAATGCGAGGGTGTGTTAAGATATATATGTATATACATTCTGTTATTATTTTTGGTGTTGTAGATATATTTAGCTCCTTAGTTTATGCCTAATATTAGGCTATGTATCTTGTATATATTGCTGTACATCAATGAGACACCTTAAGGGAAATATTCTAATACTGAGAACTTACCACAGTAAGCCTTTTATGTAGTCCATCATTCATTTGTTGGCGTAGTTGGTCACACTCTTCCTACGTATAAAGATATTACATGTAAGACTACTGTTAAAGATATTACATATAAGACTACAGTTAAAAACATAAAGATATTACATATAAGACTACTGTTAAAAACCCAAGTGCTAGTTAAAAACCCTACTGTTAGAATAAAACTAGATGTAAATATTCACTCTCCTTCAAGAGCTCATTCAAGAGTTAGTTCAAGAACCCCAATATACATTCTTTTACGTTCTACATTTTTCTTCTCCCTTCCCTTTTCGCCCAATTTTCTCGCTATATTTATATTATGTTATTCGCACCATTGCTAAAAATAGTCATTAGAATTCAAAATTAAATAACGGAAAATAAGTCTGTGTGTGCGCGCGTTTGTTTGTGCACACTCGCAGGTGTGCTTGCGTATGCACTTTCAATTTGTATTACTGCTTTGCACGTGTGCATGTTCGTTTCGTTTACTAACATATGTGTATGTGCGTGTGCATGTGCATATGTGCTCTACGTTATTCATCTCCCTTCTTCCCTTTTCTTTTATCATTCTCTCCGTTTTATAATATTAAGTACAATTCCCATTAGAGAGAAAATGTGTAAGACATGTCCAAGGCATGCATGTGTCATGAAAGCTAGGTCTTGGCTATTCAACTGAAAATTCTATTTATAAGCACACCTTAAACGCAACATCCCAATCCAACCATAAAGGATTATGTATGGCATAACCAGATTATCAGAATGATAGTTTAATCCACATGAAAATGTGATTGGTGAAACCATGAAAGTTCACATCATCCTAGGGGACTTAAATTGCGAACTCATGATCCAAAAAAACCACCACCAAAATAGGTTTTAGGCTGATACATTGAGAAACATATCAAACCACCACCACCAGCCCCCCCCCCCAAAAAAAAAAAAAAAAAAAAAAGGTCCCAATCTTAACATTTTAAGAGTTGATGTGTAAGAAAATTGGGGTGGGACCAAAATAATATACGTGAGAGTAAGATAATGGTCCTTTATGTCATGTGTGGTATGGAGCAAAATCAATGGGACATTGGGGCAATTTGTGTGTGATGAACTGATGTAGGGAGTATATCACAAAACAAAATAAAATAAAAAATAAATAAAAACTTTCAAAAATCAATGTCTTGGAACAACATGCACATAACAATTACAATAGAAGAGTAGTTATAACCATATTGAATACCTTGGTTATAGATACCCTGCATTGAAGTAAAGAGATAGCTCACAGAAAGTTCTTCCTCTCTCTATAAGTGCAAGTTTATCCTTCCACTGCCAACCCTTCATCTTATCCCACCGCCAACCCACTAACCCCACCGTTTACAGCTCGCCGGCGACCGGCTTTCTTGCCCATTTCTACTGCCGTCGCCGGCGAGCTAGCTTCCCCTTCAACCTGGTTTGCCATTTCCTATTTTGGGTTTGGGCAGGAGTAGGTTTCTACTGCAACCAGGTGCTCTATAGGTTCGTTGTTCTCGAGGGAGTCCTTCGGTGGTTGGTCTTCGTTTGTTAGGTTAGGGTTTCAATTGGGGGATTTTTCTTCGGTCTCCTCTGGCGACTTGTATCAAGGTTCACAGGTTTGCTAGGTAGTTCAGCGTCTTCTTTAAGCCACCAGTTACCTCTTTTGTCCCTTTGGTGAAGACGAAGCGGAGTACAGGTTTCCTTCATCGCCGGCTTTCTCATCTTCTTGGTATGGTCAATACTTTTGTGTACTTAAGGGAAAGCCTAGTGGTTTAGTTTTAGCTTTGTCTTTGGTGTTTTAATCTGTTTGTTTTACAAGTAAGTTTTTATGGATAGCTTTGAGGAACTAAGGGGGATGTTGTGTATTTCACATGTTGAAGAGAATGATGTCTCTTCTCATGGGTTGGAGTTTATAGTTGGGCAGTTGGAGAATCCTTTTGGTATTCTCAATTTTGTTAAGAGTTTAAAAGATGAGGGAAACATGTTCTACAAGCAAAATCAAATAGGGTCTGCTATTGCAAAATACTCTCTTGATCTTAAGATGTTGTCCTTTGCTTCGGGTTGTAGTGATGAGGATAAATTAATGTTTTCGGGCATAGCTGTGTCTCTTAATCTGAACTTGGGTGCTTCAAGGTGAAAGACTATGATAGAGTGTGTCAATTATGTTCAGCGGTTTTGTGTTTTGATACTACTAATGTGAAAGTTTACTTCAGAAGAGCCATTGCAGCGTTAGAACTTAATAAACCTACCTTAGCTTTCATGGATCTTGCACAAGCCCTAAAAATAGATCCCAATAACAGTGAGTTCCAACAAAAACTAAAGGAGGTGATATCCTTATTGGGATGGTCTCCGGAGTTCGTTGATGAGGCACTTGCAGTAACAAGGGAAGATGAGAAGTTCAGAAATTATGTTCTTTATGGGAAGGAAGATAATGGTAGGAAGTTAGGAAAAAAGGGGAAAAGAAAGGAAGGAGATGGTTGTGGTGATGGTCATGTTTGTGTATAGGTGTGAAAGACAACACCACATGGAAAAGAATGTTATGGCAATTATTTGGATTTGGAGGGTAAAGTCAACCCTACTGACCAAGATCTTAGGCCCAACGTTATTGATAACAATTGTGTCCAGAAGGGAATTTCAGAAACAAAAAACCCAAATCTGACAGGTGAAGTTTTCGGTCGGTTCTCAAGCCAGAAGCGAATTGATTCCTATTTGCATCTCACTCCAACAATGTATGGAGTGAATTCTAACAGGTGAACAGTACAATACTATTTTTCTCTCCAAAAGAATTTCATTACCATCCGAGTAGCCAATCCTTTAAAGAAGATGGATAGTGGTGAAACTCAAGAAGTTTCTACACCAATGGAGTTTAGTCACCCCCCTTTGGAAGGGCACGATAGGTGTGAAACAACTCCAGATTTGATGCAAGAAGATCCAGCCATAGGTATGGCAAGCCACGAGTCATCATGAGAAGCTACGTTAACACTCCTACCACTTACGCCGGTTTCTTCCCCTCTGCAGACTTCCGTTTACCCAACAACGTTTTCCTCTAAAATATTGTTGGGTTTTGTCTTGTCTCCCCATCCAGGTTTAAAAGGAAATATGCCACTCTACAAAGTAGGCCTCCCCTTGGGTTTTTTTTCTAACTCTTTGTTTTGCAGGTTAAGCGGCTCTAAAAGAATAGCATCATATCCCACTGAGTATACTTGGTTTCCTAATTGTAGGAAGTTGTATGGTCCGACCCCCAATGTTCTATCGTGTAATCTTGCTTTCCTTACTTAGTTTAGGTTGTAATCATGCTTTTCAATTATAGAAATCTTTGTCAAAAACAAACAAAGAAAAAAAAAAAAAAAGAATACCTTGGTGAAGTCACTTTCAGACAACATATGGATGCTAATATCTAATGGCACATTTGAAACATGCAAGATAATTTCCATATTCTCTTCTCGTCGTTGCTCTTTGATGTCTGAAAGTTGACAATAAATACAAATGAGTTAGTCATAAGAGATCTAAGAAGTCAATGACTATCTGGTTGAGATGTAAAGGCATGTAATCTCCATTTGATACTTTATAGTACCGCCCTTTCCCTCCCCCTTTAAGGCAAGCATAGATGTAAGATGATCATATGCATGATAATACTCAACCAAACAAAACATCATTATACACAGTTCCCCCCTCTTCTCCCCCTCCCCCTTTAAGGCGAGGATAGATGTAAGATGATTATATACATGATGATATTCAACCACACAAGAAATCATCATACACAGTTCCAAATGTCAATACTGCTTAAGGTTGCTGAGCATGCGAGAAAATTTTGAGAATACAAAAACAACCACACAATATGGATACAAACGATATTGTACGTGCAATGGTATACTACACAGCCTTACCCTTGAACAGTTGCAAGGGTATAGAAACATTTTTCAGAGTTCAAAAGACTCACAAAAGAATCAAAACATGTAATAACTATACAAGAAGATGAGTAGCAAACACTAATAGTATCAGTTTAATTCATCACAATATGCTCTTTGAACTCTATATACATTCTTTCATTGGACTTAATATAAGATGATACAGCTAGATGAGCTAGTAATATACACCATAACATGATTTTTGCTTTTTGATGAGAGTATTTCATCAGGAACAATGTTTGAAATATGGTGCTTTTCAAACAACCATCTCAATCTAATTTTACAAAAAACTACCCGACTTAGCAAAACTCAAATACTAAAGCCAGCTCATGACGAATTCTTGCCAAAAAATACATAATTCGGCAATTATTTCCTTCACATCAGTTACACTTTTCCCTCTGTGAACTTCTAATTATTGATAAAAACTAGAAGTGTTTCATGTAATGAAATAACTCTTAGGAAACCAAAAGTATACCGAATGAAATTATGCATACCTAAATGCGTTTCGGATGATAAAATAACTAGGAATACAAAGATATAATCGGAAATATCAACAACGAACAAAATCCAGTCTCATACAGCTTTTCCCATGAGGATGCAAAAGGCAGAATGAAGAGAAGGTTCTTGCTTCCAGCAACTCTATAAATGATCAATGATGAGCAAAAAGGCGATATCCATTTGTAAAAATTACCATGAAAGTAAGTTGGTCATATAAGGTCATTTTTGGGCATAAACTTCCAAGAGGTCACTTCATTATATGATTAAAAATAAGTTTAGGTGGCTTGTAATAAATTAATCTTACAGCAACGCAATACAATCAAGAAATATAGTCTACTTGAGGTGAAATACACCACAATAATAATGAACCTGTCAATGTTTTAAGAAAACCAAGTACAATAACTAACTTCATATATACCAAAATCGACAACAAGCAAGTGCTTAAGGTCCCCCCACCTCCCCCCCCCCCCCAAAAAAAAAAAAAAAAAAAAAAAACCTTCCTTTTAAATGGACCAATTACCGTGTGTCTCATTTATGAGAGTAAAATCATGTAAAATAGCAACGCTGAAAGCTGATCATTTTAACAAGAAAAGGGCTTATACAGAGTTTGAGGAAGAAATTAGGATCCTTCATTTAACAGAAAATTAAAGTCTAGGGCCCAAGACGAAGGAAATGGATCATGATATGTATTTTGTACCATTACATCTCAGTAGGGAACGATAGCATTGAGAAGTAAGAGGACAATGAAGATATAAAGAGCATGACCCTTGCCCTATCATCAAAAAACTTATGAGGCTTACCAAAAAAACTATCACATTAAAGCTCACTATAAACTTCTAGCACATTAGAGAATTTCCTTTCACATCAATGAAGAGTTTTGCAAAATCTATATCAGTGTCACATAGCAATCAATTCTGACAAGCAAAATGCCAATCAACCCAGAAAAAGTACATGAACCTACAACTTAGAAACTAAAGTTAAGCTCTATGTTTCAGTATACTTCCTCTGTTCCACAAATATTGCAACAAAGATGAAATTACGAATCCCAAAGCACATTTTATATGCTAAATATCTATAATTATATAAGAGTAAAAATTATAAAAAGTCGATATTGTGAAATTATTGTACGAGACGAATCTAACAAAACCTCACATGACTATATATTACGTTACGTATAAATCATAATATGTGGTCAAACAAGCGTGATAAATAGTGTAAAAGTCCAGTTGTTGCAATGTTACTAGAACGGAGGAAGTATATATTTATATGAGACTTCCTGTGTTGTATCAAATACCGGCTAAAAAGATAATGAAAAGAAACAATAATAAGATTATAATCCAGTAAACAACCTATGCTTCCTCTTGAGCAAACTACTAATCTGAGAGTACAGATTTTGTATTATAAAAAGCTATCTGATGCTTACCAGTGACTTGCACAAGCTGATGACGATTTTTTTGCATATAGTCATCTGGATCTGACTCGACCCGTACAAAGCTACCAGATATTTTGGTGTAAAAAGTATCAGATTTCTTCACTAGCTCTTCCACCAGGCTCCGCTTCAAGTACACAAGTTTGATATTTTCTGGAACAATCGATGCCATGCCACCCCTTGAAATCAATTTCTCCCTATACTGAGGTCCACCTGGATTTCTTTCATTCTTCTTTTTACATAACCTTAAGGATTTCTCTTCTTCTTTTGAGCTGCATGAAAAATCATCTGATGATTCTTCTTGGTTAGCAGCTAGATGGGTGTCTAAAAGGTCATATATTCTATGTTTATTCACCCTTTTTTGCCCCAGCAGTGATACTAAGTTTGGGTCACAAACAATTGTTTTTTTTTTCTTCGGATCAAAGAGCCTTTTTTCATTTGCATACTTGGTAACAATGTCTACTACATCGTAATGTGACAATTCAGTGCTTGCATCAACACCTAAGTTAGCAAGAAAATGTAAAAGTGGTTTAGAAGCCCAGCCTATAAACTCCTTTTTTTTGGATTTTGCCTTCTCCCTTGACTGCATAGAGACTTTGCTTCTCACGGAAGGCTTTCTTTTTTCATTTTTCGCTTTCTTTGAAGGACTATAATCTTCTATAGTCTCCCATTCCCAGTCCTCAAAACTATTCAATTTCAGATCTTGATCACTATTTGCAAACTCGTCTCTATCATCCAAGTATCTGTAGTTTCTGCCTTTTTTCAACAATGACCGTGCCTTTTGGAGATCTTCCAATCTCAAACCCTCACTTTTCTTGATGATTTCCCAATAATCCATAAAGAGAAATTCACATGTCCCTCTCTCTGTAAAATCTACCTTCTCCTGGAAAATAAGCAAAACTTCTAGTAAAACAGTAGCAAGACCAAAAACTTATGATTAACCGTTCCTTTTTTAGAAAATGTTAATAAATTCCAAAATCAATTTCGGCGTCCAGTAGCTGAACTCCTCGCTATAGTATACACCATTCCATTTCCCGGTTGGGAAGAGACAGAAAGAAGCAAGAATGTTATGTTGGAATTTAAATCCCTCATCAAAGAAATTTAACATATCCACCTATCCTCCCTCCCTGTAAACCACAGCCACTGCCTAAGCCAGTCGTTACTAGATAATTCTTAATAAGACTGAGAGCTATCTCCAAAACAGCAAGGGTTCTTTCTTCACACTTTATCCTCAGTCATACAAACCTTGTGACTAGAGTCTTAGCATTTAGCCTTATTGAAAAAACAAAAATATTGCGTTAGTGAAGGAAATACCATAATACTAAAGTATCTTTCAGATTCAAACACCTTTGGGAGTCAGGAATCCCATAGAGATCACAACCTCTCTGATAGTTGATTAGGAGCAATAGTGCCCCTCCCCTTCCCAAAAACCACTTCGGGGAAGTTCAAAACCATGTTGCAAACTCTATGTGGCAAAGAGGATATGTGCAAAGATGAGACTTTTTGCAACAAATTTCAACCTATCACTTTACATAGCAAACAAAACCTCATGACTGATTATAAAAACAGAATAGTAACAGAGGATGAAATTAAAAGACAACTTAATATCATGGTCATTTCATTCTATTCACTTCCTTAATATTCAGTTGCGATACTTTGGCTTCCAAGCTTGCCATCAACTTTAACCATTAAAACCTTTAATTGCCTATTAGTAAAGCAAAATTTGTATTGATACTCTGTTCATAAATACATTGAGAACAATCCAACAACATATTAGATAACATTTATTTTCTACATATTAGTACAAAATTATGATCAAAATTAGTTATGTACACAAAAAGAAGTAAAAGTGTTGCAATTTAATAAAAACAAAAATAGTATCATTCTTGCTACTCACGACAAAATAGCACATAGAATTGTAAAATAATGTCATCAGCAGACCCTCATAGACACCTTGATAAAACAGCTGTCTATGATCCTTTTTACTATCCAGGATTCCAGAATACACCAGATTTGATTATGTAGCTAGATGAGAATCGAATACCAGACCACAGTTAACTATTCTATTAATAATTAGAGAAAAGAGAAGCACAAATGCCGAAAATCCTGCATTACCCCTTAATATAATGAAAATAATTCAGAAACAAAATTTATATGTATCTACAAAAAGCAAACATACCCCATCTGAGTCGACATCCTTTTTTTCTTCCCATAGCAAGGAAAACTTTAGACAATTGCAGCAAAATCCTTTGATGCCTCGGACCAAAACGAATTCTGCTTCACCCATACACTGTCCACAAACAGCATGTGGACAGCAAAAGCAGTGGAATTTTGCAGCTTTCTTACAATTGAAGCAGAAATGCCAATCTATAAAGCAGGGTATCATCAATAGATAAATTATATCAAATCATGGACAAATGCAGATGCATAACTAAAAACTCCGCAAACCCTCAACGTTAGTAAAATGAGTGGCCCCACAAAAAGGCAGATAAATAACACTTGAATCTGTCTACTTGAGATTCAACTATGAAACTCATCATCTTAAATGGGTTTAATCTATTGTGACTTTCAAACAGGCACAATAATTAGTGTTTTAAACTTTAATCTTCCACTCTTTATTCTAGTGATAACCTATTTTACTCCTGATGTATTTCAAATTTTGTTTAAGAAAATTGTGCATTCTATTGACAAAAACAAACAAGAAAGAAGAAAGACTTGAGCAAGATAATAGTTTAGAATGCTTCCATGGAGAACATGCAGACCAACACGAAAATAGTAAGATTAGTCACACTCTGTCTAGCCTTTTCAGAAACACAACTTTTACTAAGCTTCCTTAACTTATCCTTTATTATGTGAAGAGCTACATTTTTTGTGCCAAAAGATCAACAATACAGACCCATGATAACCACAATTCTCAACCTACCAATAAGGAAGGCCACATGTTATAAGTTTAAATGTCACTCGCTCCTCCCTCTCCCCTTCAAACTTTGTCTTTGTCTGCTCCTGCCATTAAAGGAACCTGGCTGTTGTTTTTGCAGCAGAAGACCTTCTTTGAGTCACTTAAAAGTTTTAAAATGAAGGTTTTGTGAAGTTTAAAGAAAGGGTCTCTACCTTTTTACCGGAGAGGTTTCATTTACATCTATCACTAAACATAAATACATCAGAAAGAAAACCATGAGCCCTTAGAATAAAGCTAATGAGAATTAAAGGGTGCTCTGAACAATCATCACTTAAATAGAGAGTTGGCTTAGAGATAAGGAATAATTTTCCTATTCGCCAAGGGCATGCATATATATGTATATTTTTTTTAACCCATTTCGCCTCCTTAATCTCATATATTAAATACACCCTTCGCCCATTAGTAGTGCCTAACAAATGCAAGAAGAAGTGACTTCTTGCCTCCCCCACAAGCAAATATGATAAGCCTAAAGTAGGATGTAACGTCTTTTTGGCCCCTAAACCCTATAAAGTCACAAGAGTATTGACTTTCTCCAAACTAGAAACCTACACACAAAAGCTTAACCACTTTCTGAACCTTAGTTTTAGAATACGTCCTCTTTTAATGCTTCTTTATGCTTTTTAGGCCCTATAGGCATACTTGTTGTGTACCTCCTACGTGTCGTCTCTTACGTGTGGCCTAGTTCTAGCTTAGATGCAATGCGGTTTTAGTGTTCAATAAGAATAATTTCAATTTTCAAAATGAAACTCTTTAAGAACCAATGTATAATGAATGAAAATTAAAGCCTTCTACCATAGAAAAAAGAAAAATGTTGTTGATATTTCCTCAACGTTGATCCCCCTTGCATTTGTCTCTCTTTAAATTATTAATTCTCGTCATTGGTCCCACTTGTCTATCTTAACACAACCAAGAATCCTAATGCCTCGCTCTTGTAACCAACAGGGCCTCTTTTTATCAAAAGTTTTGCTTGAGCCTACTTGAGCACAGATTTGATCCATCCTTGGATTGTGTTCTAACTGCTCAAGAAACAATGTGCCGCTCAATTCAGTGTCAAAACACTCAACACTTAGCTTTCCAAGTAAAGGTGGAAAGTATGGAAAAACTATGACAGGAAATTTTTGCAGATGGCTATATAAAAAAAACTAGTGAAGAAAGTCAAAAAAAATAAAATTCCCAGATGTCTAAGCATTTCTCCTCTGATTATCTTTCAAACCCTTTGAACACACTGACACCCTTTTAAGGTTGGTCAAAATATATATTGATGATATTTTGAAATTAAAATAAAATAATAAAAACACACAAACATATTATGAAAATATTTATACTATGAACACAAGGCTTTGATATGATGGATTCAATTTAACCTACATGTAAGAAATGAAAGGAGTACTGTTTTCACAATTGACTGTATTTCTTGAAAATATACCAATGTTGTAGCAGATGTTAATCCCAAGTTACTAAAAGTCAAATTTATTTGTTTTTTCTGTCAACAACATAGTTCATGCAAATTTTACTCAGCAGCTGAAAATGTGTGAATTGTCCTGTCACACAACACATGGAAAGAAAGAAAAGATACTTCTTTCACTGAGTAAAGAGAAAGTTCTTTACCACATCTGAAACTCTCATCACAGTCCAGAATTGAATCATCCTTTCCAACACACTGAGGATGATATGCTTTTAAGCAATCCCTAAAGGAAAATATTCAATAATTTAGAGTCATTAACTTGAGAAATTACAATCAAGACAAAATCATCAGAAAGGTATGGAAAATAAACATGCATGGTAATCCATAATGATAGCGGCATTCCAATTTAATTTTATCCACACAGAATTTACATTGTAATGCTATTGCTATAAAATTCAAGAAAGTGTTAAGCCACATGGTAACCGGATGCAAAATGCTCATTGTGCACCCATTTTAAAGTGATAACCCATTCAACAACATTACACGCGCACAAATCAATACCCAATACTCAAAACAACATAAACACAATATACAAGGAACATAAATAAAAGAACACATACCTCATCCCAAAGAACACAATGTATAAGAACATATAACACAAGGAATAAGACTATAAGACATATACTTCAAACCCAAGGAACATATTTTAAAAATATATATACTTCATACTCAAAGAATATATAACTCTAACCCAAAAAAACATGTTTATCTACCGTAAAAAGAATATAGGTCATAATGAAAAACCACTGAGTAAAAGAACAAATAATTCAAATCCGAAGAATATAAAGTTCAAACCAAAAAAATGTTTTCAAGTACACATGAAGGATGCAATTTATTGAGTATAACGATCACTCGTGTGCATCATCTAATTTGTATCACTTGACTATAATTTAGAGAAAAGAAAATGCGTTGAAGTATTTATTTTCATTTGCATAGCAATTTCACAAGATTCCAAATAATCCAAATGAGACTAATAAAAAAAGGGAGAACATGTAGAGCTATCGAGTACCAAATCGGCAATGACTCAAGCAATGGGGTGAAACTAGTCACCATTTTAACCCAGATTTGCACCCTAGCCATATAGAACCCAATACTGACTATAGCCCCACACAACCTATAATTGATCCAATCCATGGTAAACCGTAACCCAATGTATTTGACACATCATTGTTAACCCAACGTGCTATAGACCAAACCCAAAGTGAAAATGGAGTCAAATGTCCACTCAACCTATTATTTTTACCCAAATCAAAACAAGTTTTTTTTGAGTTTAAGTTGATAAGCATAATAAATTGTAGAATTGCTTTATTAATAAAAGTTACTATGGCTTACCAACATATTAATACAAGTTGTTCGATCATATACCTCTTGTTCGCAATTATATATAAGCTCAATAGCATGTTCACAATGCTTGATCGAATTATGGAAGGCGTAAATATATAGGTTTTAGTAGATGGACTTGAAACAAAACCAAGAATGACCCGATTTAAAGATTATTTGGCCCGATAATCATCCAACTTACCTGAACACTGACATGATAAAACCCTAGTTTGCCCATACCTGAAAGGGTAAGCAACCTAACATAATGTGATGGATAATAATGGTTGCCTATCATTGTTATTTGTTAAATTTGTTAATATTTGTATGTATCTTATAATAGGTTTCTATTGCTTACTCATGTACTATATATACTCATAGAGCACATCAATATAATCAAACTTTCTCTCATTACCTTTAAGTTTTTCAACATTCTCTTTCTCATAATTCTATCACATGAACCCTGACTTGATATGACCCGAAATTAATTTGACCCGACTGATTTGATCTAGCAGCTTACATGGTTACATGTAAAAGTTACTCTGTTTGTCTTATAATATAGTGTATGTATTTCCTGATTAGTTTTCCATATACTAATGTTTCTTTTTTTATCTTACATAATTTTATCATAATCCACCTACTTTTAACCTTTCCCATATAAAGTATCTACAATTACCCAAATTTTCAAGCCATTATTTACCTTTTTTTATTCTATTTCCCATATAAGTAACTCGTATATTTAAAGCTTCATTATATATCATAAGTTACGGATTACCTTTTCATAACTTTTCCCATACTCCCTGTGGTTCATTTTTAAGTGCTCCAATTAAATTTCTTGTACTACTCCCTTGAATAATTAACACACTTTCCATTTTCATCCGTTCCTAGATAATTAACCCATTACTAAAAATGACAAGGACCCACTAATATTTAATTGTTTTTCTATCTTGTACAATGGCTCACCACTTTAGGGGTTCATATTTAAAAATTCCCCCACCCTCTTCCATTTGCGCAATGGCCCACCACTTACACTATTTCTATGAATAAAATAGAATTTAACTAACTTCACTTTACTATAAAACAATTCAATAAAACTACCCCACTCAAAATTTTCTTAAACTTTGTGTCAATTATATTATATGAGAACGGAGAGAGTATTTACATACACTAATTTGATCAATGTTTATGCTTAATACAGAGTATATGTGATCAAAGATAGTCATATAGCCGATATAGGTACTCAAATATTAGCTTTTAATAAATTATACATTTTTCTAATAAAATATATTATTGGTCAAAACTCCACGCTTTAGTCAAACTGAGGCAAAAAGCTTGAGGGGTAAAAGAAAAAAAAAACCAGAGGAGCCCACTTTTAGGGTGGCTAATGCGCGCCATACCTAGTCATGTCCAAGATACTTTGGCTACATTAATCAACGAAAATATGTAAACAAATATTTTTAGGGTATAAACCTCCGCACACTATTTTTAAGAGTTAAAAAAGCAATTAACATTGATGAGGGCAAATAGATAAATATTTTAGAGGATATAGTTATCCAAACACTATTAGAATACTTTTTAAAAGGCAGTGATTACACACTCCCTCCTCTACCATTAATCGTCGTACAAAAACTCGCATTATATTATGAGACAGAGTGACTAATAGTGTAATACGGAATCAATATTATAGTCAACAAGCTTTGTAAACCCACACTACTGGGTATTACCTAGCCTATACCAGCTGACTTAACAGTTCAACACTTGCAAAAAAATTATAAACATTATAAAACGCCATAAATGAAGCACTTATTATACACACCATATCTCACGCCAATAGGATGATATGGGGTTCCTCCATTCTTAAACAACATTAAAATAGAACACGTTCTAAACATACCCATTATTATATTATTGAAAAACCTTGATTATATCAAATTATCAACAAAAGATACAATTTAAAATGTGGGTTTACAAAATCAATCAAAAAAAATGGGTATTTAAACAATTTCATTTTAAAAAAAAAAAAAAAAAGTGTTAAAGAAACTTACTTGTGTTCACAAAGAATGAGATTTCCACCTTCTTTGCAAACAAAACACCAATCTTCAGATACTTCTTCTTTTTTCCTCCTGCGATTCTTCCTCACCATTTTCACCGGCGGAATGTGGTATTAAAGACCGGCGATGATGACGTTGGTGCAAGTGCGTAAATGCTTAATGGTGTTGGCAATAAAAAGGTTCAACAGCTGTTGTCACACTCAGAAAGGATGAGAAAAAGCTCTTTTTGTTTTTTTTTTTATTTGTTTCAGAAAAGGTATTTAGGGTAGCCTTGGGTGAACAAAAAAATAGTTCACAATGAGTCAACAAGTGAATGGGTGGCTTAATGGTGATCTCTATAATTGTTCATAGTGAATGGTTGTGGGGTCGATTGCTGCTGAATAAATCCGTTGTAATTTTGCAACGGATATATTTTACAAAACACAAATAAAAAAAAAATTACCAACGGCTCTATTTTTTTCCCCTCTATAAATAGACACCCATATTGCTATACTTTCTTCAACTTTGAAAATCCATTTCTTTCTACTATATTTTTCTCTTCAAAAATCCCCTCTATAATTACCAATATTATTATTATTAATATTATTATTATTATTATTATTATCATAGTTATTATTATCATTTTTATTATTATTATCGTTATTATTATTATTTCCTTTATTATTATTATCGTTATTATTATTATTTTTATTATTATTGTCGTTATTATTATTATTATTAAATTTTTATTTTTTCCAAATATAAATTATAATTATGGATGCTAATACCAACCCCAAAACAAATAGAAAGAAGAAAAAAAAATTGGGTCAAAATATGATCCTTCAAGCTCGTTTTGCCATTATTAAAAAGCCGTCTTTGGCGTGGGATACCGACATACTCCACAATATCATGCTCGCCTGCATCATAATACATAATATGATCGTTGAAGATGAACGAGAGACGTATCAAAATAACGTTAATACCAATGAGTTTATGAATGCTAGAGGCAACGCTAATGAGGACACTACCGAGTGCCGTACTGATCGTATTGTGGATATCGGCTTATACTTGTCTCGTTGAACAGAGATTGAGGATCAACAGACTCATTTGTAGCTAAAAAACGACTTGGTCGAACATATATGGAATAAATTTGGTAACAACGAAAACTTAGGCAACTAGGTTTACAACAAATGGTTATCCCTAAGGACATCTTACAAAACGATGTGTAGTTTTTTTTTTAAATAAAATGTACTAGATTATAGTTGTAGAACTGTAATCACGATTTGTACCTCTTTTTTTTTGTTAATTAAAATTAGCTGCGTTGTTGTTTAAAAAATATTAATCACAAGAATTAGTTTTTTAAAAAGCTGATAAAAAAATGCGATAATTTCTTAATTAGTAATCATGATTAAAATATTAAATACGTCAATTAATTACATTGACATCGGGTTAATAAATTATAATTATGAAACAAAAAAAATTATATTTACAAAAATAAAATAAGGTGGGGTAGGGAGTATTGATGATGAACCATTGTTTAGTGTTCATTGTTAAGAGTGAATATTGTAAATGGTTTGTTGGGTTGATGTGGATGAGAGAGAAATGGCGATAGTGACCCATGAACCATTTATTTGGGTTCACCAATAAAGATGCTCTTAAGCCGATAAAGTTATACTCCTTATTTGTCTTCTATGAGTAGTAGCTGGACCCGTCAAGGCGTCAACTAACTTTCAATGGAATAATACTTCATCCAAGCTAAATAAGGGAAAATTGAATAAAATAAAAGGGTAAATGGGGTACTTAAAGTATTAAAAAAATATAAAAATAATAATAGATTTAATAATTTATTGAAAAATAATAAATGTGAGAAAAAAGAAATAATAATAATAATAATAATAATAATAATAATAATAATAATAATAATAATAATAATAATAATAATAATAATAATAATAATAATAATAATAATAATAATAATAATAATAATAATAGTGAGTTTGGATAGGGACCATAAAAAGAAAAATATATAATATTAAAATATAGTTTTATTAAAAAAAAAGGAAATGTCATACTTATTAAAACGCGAAAAGAGTACTCTTTTCATTACTAAGACGGTTAACGCGCGCCCCATAATAACTAGTTTTTTTTCCGAGTTTTTTTTTTTTTTTTTTGTTTTTTTGGTCTTATGTCATAAATTTAGTTTTTAACAGTAATAATGTGGGAAAATATATATACAAATACTTTCTCTGTTTCTATTTGCTTGACTAATATTCTTAAAATGGAAATGTCATATAACTTGACTCATACTATATTTTATAAAAAAAAATTCTTGTTTTTGAAACAAAATAAATTCAGACCCACAATTATCATGGCAAGCAAACGGTCAAGAATTCAACGAGGTGAGGATAGTTCAGGTTCAAGGCCACAAATTGACGAATCTCTGCAACTCAAGGACCATTGTCCAACGATCGTCATTACATCTGAACAACAACGGGAGCGATTATTCAACCTCTATGAACAGGAGGTAATTTCATCTCGGTGGTTAAACTGAGAAGCCCTTGTTTCAATTGGTGTATATGATAGAGGGTTTAAACATGTCGTTATATGCTTAATACTCTATCAACAAAATTTGTAAACACTCGACTAATCCTAAACACGAGTATAGGGGTAAGTCAAGGGTCGGTCCACGAGGAATGGGGGAAAGGTTGCTAGAGTCTAGGGTCAAGCTATTTCAAAGCTAAGAGAGGTGTTTGTTATGTAAGCTATGGTATCACTAGAGAAATGCAATATCAAAACACTAGGGATTAGGATCCACATGCAATCAAGATAGAAGTGCCAATTGGGGGAAATCAAATCAATCAAAACATTGCAAGGACTAGTAGTAATCCCAGTTGAAAGAGTTCAAAAGGTTATCTCCTAGAAGTCAAACTAGGTTTCCTTTATGAATGACTAATCAAAGAGAATAACAATTCAAAATCAATCAATAAATGCAATCCCTAAATCAAGTGGTCATGTCATTAGGAACTACAATGCAATCTTGCTTGGAAATCAAGGTTGATCACTCCTATCAAGCCAAACACATGCACAAATCTACTAATCAATTTAATTACAACATTTAATCAATCAAAATCCCAAAATTAGCAATTATCCATCATTCATGCATGCTTCCCCTTCACCCTAGCAAAGAATCTACTCACTAAGCATGTTGAATTTGAAGAACAAAGCTAAGTAAATCATAATAATCATCATATTCAACTAATCAAGAAGAAATTCAAAACAATCAAGCTACTAACCACAAATCAACAAATCAAACAATCATTCATGAATCAAAGAAAAAATTAAAGCAATAAAGAAGAATTAAGGGAAGAAAATCTCACTAATTATCATTGAATGAAGGAAATCCAAGCTTGAATAGAGCAAATTTGAAGTACAAATCAAGAATCCAAGTGTTTCTCTCTCTAAAATCTAAGAACTAAATAACTCTAAAAAAATGCTTAATGAAGAAAAAGGAGAAAAGCTATTTATAGTATAACTAACTACAAAGGAAATAAGGCAAATATCCTGAAATAGACCCAGCCAGGCGCGCCCTCTCACGAGCTTGCGCGCCCGCGATAATCAGGGTACGGAATCAGGACTCAGAGTGGCGCGCCCGCACAAACCAAGACTGACGTGGTGCGGCAGGAGTTGCCGTGGCGGGACAGATCTTGCCGTGGCACGACAGCCTTGTCATGGCGCGACGATCCAATTCCTGCGCGTCCACGCACTTGGAGCAGGACACTTCTTCGGTGCGTGCTTCATGTGAATGGTGCGCTCCTCGTGATCCACACTAGGTGTGGTAGTCCCGCAATGGAGTTTACGGTGGGTTCAACACCATAATTTCATACAAGCGTTGCATGAGAGCGTAATCACCAAGTCTTGGAGCTAGCCTTTCCTTGCCTTGTGAGTTGTGTATGAGCTTCCACCTTGCACTTTGAGCCTTTTTCAACCCGAAAAATCATCGTGATGGGTCTCGGGCTTTACCTTACACCTACAAATCAAGAAAGTAGAGCAATTGAAGGAGAAACGCGAGAAAATCTACAAAAATAGGAGAAAATACGAAATAAGCAAAGAAAAGACAAACTAAGGAACAAAATATCAAAACTAAGCAAAAAGAGGGAGAGAAAACTATAAAAAGAAATAAAAAAAACATCATAAAATATCACCATTTGAGTGCCATAAATGACACTCATCAAATTCCCCCAAGCTAACTTTTGCTCGTTCTCGAGCAAAACAAAAGCAAGCAAGGAAAATGAAGGGCTTATTCAAAAAAAAGAAAAGAGAGAAAAAGAGATGAGAATATACACTAAATCACTAATGTAGGAATCACGGTCAACCTTTTTTCTAGTGACAAGCCATTTTGAACCCCTATAACGCCCTAGAGGACGAGTGATGCTCTCATAAGGGTATCCTAAAGAGCTTAACCCATAACTCTCAAAATAAAACGAGGCAAAGCTTGAAAATAGAATGAAAAATAAGAAAAAGGGAAAACACATGCTAATGAAATGGACTTTTGCAAATGTTCAAGCACAAATGGATGCAAATCTCTCTAAACAAGTAAGGGAGTGCACATTTCAAGATATCCAAGGTTGATTGAAACATAAAAGATGCTAAGCATAGAGAACTTATAAGACACAATTCACCTTCATCTCAAACAATCTTACCGCGTCCTCCCTACTAGTTTCAAATCCACCTTTAACGATCATCTCAATGATTCCTCGAAGGAACCGAAAAAAAAAGAGATTTAGGGCTACTCGACATCTTGACTATGCAAACCCGCTCCATAGGCTTGACTTCTATCTCCCTCCACCGACTTGTGACTCAACCATCCGGGTCAAAAGATCTTTGAAGGTTTGTAACGCATGGGCAAAAAGGGTAAAGTTAGGCTAAAATTTGAAATTTGGTGGTGTACCTAATTGTGAAGCAAAAGAATGGCCAATTCTTAGTCCCATAATCAAGTTATCACCAAAATTTAAATAAAAATACCAACACTTCCAAGCTTATTCAAAGAAACATCACAAAACTATATACAAAAAGCGTAGACACGCTTCCCCTAAGCTTAAATGGAGTATTGTCCTCAATGCTCTAAACTAGGGAGATCACACCTACATCAAAATATTTTTGTGCTTTTCATTTTTCTCTGTTTTTTTTCTCTCTTTTTCAAAGCATTTGCAATTGCATTACTTTGTTTCTCTTTTTTTTCACTTCATCACTTTATCCTCGCCTCTTTTGACTATGGACGGCTTTTTTTTCAACTTGCATTTTCCTTTATTCACATACTATATACAACACATGCTTGCTTAGTCAATAGAACCAAAAACCATACATATACTCCCATAAATCACCAAACTAATGACCTCATGCTTCACTAAAACCAAGCTTGGAAACAAAAATGAAACAAAAGGTAAGAGAGTTA